ATTGTTGCCAGGTTTTGCTTGGTGGGAGATATCTATGACGGGTTATTTTATTTTATTTTTTTGACATTTGTTTAAAATTTAATGAGTGATTGATTTTGAACTAAGTAAATAAATTTTACGAACTTTGGGACTTTAAAATATGCATAATAAATTAAATTTCTATTTATATTCTAACGGACCAAATGCCTGCCTCTGTCTCTTGCAGATAGTAAGCCCAATAGCTGGTGACTCATACGATTTCCGCACGATTCGACAAAAACGTTCCACTTTGGCTTACAGTCGATCGCAATCGGGACAAATTATGAAGGTTTGATTATACAATTTGATCGAATTGGAAATACTTAAAATATCAGAAATTTAAATTTTGACAGACGGCAGAGGATTTAAGCGACAAATTGGAACGTATTTTCAAGGTGGGTGATAGCCCGGGACTTGTATTGTTCAATGTAAGTGCCAGTCAATAGCTCGAAAAAAGCTTCAAAAATTTTCACGATTTCTTTCGACGACTTTATTTCTCTCCCTCTCTCTCTCTCCCTCTCTCTGTTTTTCTATTCATCTGCAACTCACTCGGCCTCTACATTTGCGTTTTTATTTATTCTTGCTTACCACTTCAAGGACGCATCGCAACCGACATTTAAAGTGCAAAGATCACCCGACGGCAAACTGAGCGTGGTTTTTAACGATTTTCTCATTTTCCAGACGACAACGTCGGGCACACCAACGCATAATGACCACAACAGTAACGATAGAAATATTTCACCCGTCAAGGATAACGGTGCAATCATATTTCCCGATGGTAATTAGCAAAACAGTTGATTATTTAGTCTTCATAAAAGATTTTAAAATTTTTTCCTTTCTTGCAGATGAAATCATTTGCCCTGAGCGACGGCAAGGTAAACCCTACTGCACAGAGGTGCCAAACTATTTAGAGGCTACACAGCTGGATAAAATCAGCGCCGAGAAATTTGACAAATTTAGACCCTATTTCAAAGATGATCTCGTACAGCCCCAAAATGTAACGCAGCGCATGAACTCAGAGCCGCTGGAAGAATACTATTGCTCGAGCACATCGCACCTGATATATCCGAAGAGCGCCGAAACGAAAGAATCCAAATGGCTTTTGGTTGTGCAACACGACGAACACAGGCAGGGCATTTTGGTGGAACAGTGCGAGTAAGTGGAAAATGTGAATGAATTTTGGAAAGACAAGGTTCTTGCTAACAGTTCTTTCTACTTACCTCCGCCCCATTGCAGCAATGAGGAAAAGCCATGCCGTTTTGAGGAATCATTGCCACGCCACTACACCTCGAGGTGTAAACAACATTTCGTTTTTAGAACAATGATTGTATTGGTTAACGGCGAAATGATGGAGGAGCAGGTGAAAATGCCCAATTGCTGCAAATGTGTACTGCGGAATAATGGCGCGCAACATTAAAAATGATTCATACGATTCATGGAACACACACAAAAGTTATGTGCAGCATTTGAAAGCTCGACGTACGCGGAGCTTTTAATGAATACCCAGTATGACCTCAAGATAGTTGAAAAGTGCTAGTTTCACTGAGCGAATTTGTAGAATAAAAGAAAAAATAAAATGTACATATAAAATGTAAACCAAGGTGCCAACAAAAATTGTAAATTTCCTAGGATGTACGACTATGTTAAACGAGGGAGTAGTTTGATAGATAAAATTTAAAAACAAAAATATTTTATTTATTTTATTGAGTATTTATATAATGTGTTTTTGCATTTAAGACAGAGCAGACTTTGTATAACGTTTTTGTAATTGTAAATAAATTTTTTAACTATTCACAGTAAAATTTAAACTTATAATATTTATTTAAATTTCAATTAATTAGTTTTTATAAGATAAGCATACTATTGTCACCTACAACTTAGTAAAAATCGCAATAAAATTAAGTTCGGAATACTAACTGAAGCACTAACCTAACATTTTTCCAAAACCGCCCATCGACCAGTTGCAAAACCGTCTATATCGCCACTGTGACAAAAATGAGATTTGGTAAGCTTGAAATCCAGGCATCGAGATTTATGCATAAGAATCATAAAATCGTTATTAAAACAACAGATTTGTAAAATTAGAGCTAGAGAAAATACCGCCTATGAAGGCAATGCCTTCAAAGAAAAACCGTTTTTTCGCTCTCCTTTAAAATTTGAGTGCCATTAGATAGGCGGTTTTGCAATTGGTCGATGGGCGGTTTTGCAAAAATATCGACGATATGTTAAAACGTGGAATAATTTCTATGTGGAATGTTCTATGTCTATGTCTATGTACATATGTAAAATTACTTTAATTTACAAGATAAATAGATATTGCAACATGGGTATTAAACTGCAGAGGTTTAGGAAAGTTTACTGCCGAAAATATTTTCGAAGAGAGTTGCCACATGTTTGAAAAATTATATTCACTTATAAACTGAAGGAAACTGTCACCTATTTGAAAAATTTAATTCAGGTAAATTGATCAGAAAAGGTAGATATTGAATTAGTTTGAAGAAAGTGCGGGATATGTAGACTCGTGTTATAGGCCCATAAATTAAATTCACATGAGATAATCGATACTTTATCTACTTTCTAATTTGTTTGAAAATCTCTCTTCATTAAGCTCTTTAAATATATTTTGTTTTTCAGGCATGAGGCCGTAAGGTTTTGGGAGGAAGTAACGACACAAAAATACTTTTACGGCGCATTAAAGCACGGAAGATATTTGCGGAAATGTCGAAAAAATCGCAAAAGCTAAAGATTCAGATTAAAAGATTTGAATTTTGTGCAAGTTTATGGAATTTTGTACAAAGTTTGACACTTTGATTTATATGATTTTGGTTATGGCTTAGAAAATACTTTTATAGGAAAACTAGCTTTCGGCAGCGACTTCGAATTTTTTCTCTCCATATAAAAAATATTGAGAAACCTCTAAATACTTTCTGATTTAGAAATAATTTTGGGTATGGAACAATCCTAGGGGGTGAGAGCATCAAAACTCCAAATTAATTATTTTTTAACCACCCTAATATACATACAAATGCATACATAATGCGCGAATGCTTTTTTGTCTGTATCGTTCGTTCGAGGTGTCAATTAAATGAGGTATCGAATTGCCTAAATTACCTGATAAGCAGTTAAATTTAAATTAGTTGTTGGCATCGACCATTTTTGGATGCTTTTTGGTTAGAGTTTTTCTTTTAACACATAACGAAGTTCTGCCAATAAATAAATAAAAGTTCAAAAGCTCACAATCGAGATTTTCTAAGTTAATTTAAGTTTAAGTTAAAGTAAAAAAATGGTTCTGGTCTCGTTTCAAAGGTGGTAATTAGGGCTATATAAAAAATACACATTACAAAATTGGGAAAGTAAAAAACTTACAGAAACAAATTTAAATGTTTAGCTAAAGTTTTTTATTCAAGACCTCTTAATGATATTTAAATATCCTATTAAAAATTAAAAATACATTTAAATTAGATTAAAATAGTTCAACACAACTTTGTTTAAAGTTTGCAAACAAAATATTTTAAAGCTCAAGATCCATATCTTAAAAAAATACCCTCGTTGAAATTTTCAGTTTATTTTAAGATCAGTTAGAGGTATTGTATAACAAAATTTGACAACATTTTTTAAGTATAACAGCCAGTTTCACGAAAGCAATTTAAGTGAAAAATGACCTAAATATTAAAAAAACTTACAAAATCCGGAAAATTGTGATGAATAGAATTTTGTTAGCTTTAGAAAAAATTTTATTTTAATTTCCTTTTACACTTTTTAAAAGTTCTGACGCACATTCATCCATATCAAAGGGCCCGATTCCAACCATTAGTCAATTTCCATACATATGGGACATTTCACGCCAACCAGGTCATTCTACTCTACGAAAGTGAAACCTTTCAGCATTATGGAAGTGCCGCCGGCCCGACCACTTGGCCACTCACAAAATTGTGGGCTAAATATAGTAAACTTCGTTTTTAGTTTAGTAGTTTAGTTAAAAGGACTTTGCAACTTCAATGATATGATTTATGCCAAAATTTATTTAAAAAATTCTTTACAATTTAGAAATACAATATGAGTACCAAATGAAAGAGAAATTGCGTAGAATTAGAAAATAAAGCTAAATTCTGTAGTTCATAAGAATGAATTGGTATTGGGAATGCCTTTTTAATTAACTTTATTTTTTGTAAGCTAATTATGTTAGAAGGATAAAATTCGAGGGTGTGGTCGACTGTATATCAGTCCTTAACATATAAGTTTTCCAAAAAAAAATGTTGCAAAATTTCAAGCATATTCAAGGATAAAATTTTAAAAGGACATTCTGAGTACCTACTCATCCTTATGTACCAAAGAATTTAATCTTTAATTATACTGATCTTTCTCTTTGGTGTGATGCCTATCCTTTTCTAGAGTGCACTGATTTTTTTAAATAATTTTTTGAACTAATCATATTTTTCAAATCTCGAAGTCTTAAAAAAAAAAACCTGACGTAAGAGGGAAAAATTAAAATTGCTGTTTAACAAACATTTTGGGCGATCGGAAGTTTCTTTAAAATGCTGAAAGTATCTAATTGTTGTCTTCCTTGAACAGTGTGTGCTCTCAGTAGGATAATTAAAAAAATATAACACTTAAAAATACTCCCATTATTAAACGTCATAAATTAGCAAGCATTAAACGATTATGAGAATATTATCATCAGTTTGTAAATTACATACATATGTAGATACATACGTGCGCGACCTTTTAATTGAATGTTTTAGAAAAGTTTGTAAACATTAAAGAAATCAACTAACATACATACATAGGTACTTACTTCATTAATTTTGCATAATAATAATTAAAGACCACATTGAGCGGTTCGGGGAATCCTCATATGTACGGGTATCTACATATCGCATATGTACGTAGATAAATATTTAAATAACATTTATTCACAAATATTGCATTCATTCGAATCAAAGGAAAACTGAAGTGTGAATAGTTATTATCTTCTTTTTCAGGCGAGTTCAACAAGTGCATTTCCAAATACCAACGAAAATGCCAAACCTCAAGAAACAAATGCTATTCAAACGCACAACTCTTCCGAAAGTAATAAAAAAGCGAACGAAATTTAAATACATACATACATATTTATGCTTACTTATACATATATTTTACTTACAATTACACTTAAATACTTATGTAATATTTGTCACATTTTAGAAAACGTCAACTGCGACGGAAAATCATTTTGCACTGAGGTGCCAAATTATTTAGAGCAAACGCAATTACATAATATAAGCTTGGAAAATTTGGCACAATTTCCAGCACATTTCAGAGATGATTATACAGGGGATACTGCGGTGCGATCAATGCATTACACTGACTCTGACGAATTTGACTACTGCGATTCGATAACAAGGTTGGTATATCCACAAAGCGCTGAAACTAAGGACTCGAAATCGGTACTGGTGGTACAACGCGGTGGGAACAAACAAGGAATCTTAATAGAGGAATGCACGTAAGAAAAAGATGAACAGTAAATAGGGCAAATTGTCGATATTTGAATTTTTTATATTCATCATTTATTTTTGCAGTGAAACAAATAAAGAATGTAGATTTGCAGATAGCTTGCCGGTAGGCTACACATCGACATGCACTCAGCGCTACACTTTTCGATCCGTAGTTGTATTTATGAATGGTGAATTGAAGGAAGAATTAATAAAGATCCCCAGCTCCTGTAAATGTTCAATAAAATTTAGGGGTAATTAAAAACTGATCGACTTGGAAATATGTGAAGCGACAGTGGAGCTGCATTGTCAAAGAAACTCTTACTAATACTCTTATGCACATTAGAGATTATTCAGAAATACATAAACAATGTATGCATAAAATATATCCTGTTGGTGATAGTTATGGGCGCTGTGAAAAAATAAACGGGAATGGTTTTTTAAATGGCAAATTCATTTATGTATATGCTTTTAGTAAGTTTCACCCGCGTGTAACTAAATCTTGTAATAAATTTTTAGCCAACTTCCCTCTGAGCTAGAGACCTGAAACTTCACACTTAGCATGGAAAACGATGGCAATGCAATATGAAAGAGGAATTAATGTGCTATTAAGCCAGCATTCAGACCTAGGGGAACTCAAGCTTGTAGAATCTCCTCTGCAATTGCAATGGTGGCGTACTATCCAGGGCAATTGAAAATAAACGTGTGTCTCAAAGTTGTCAACTTGGTGCTTTAAGCACTAGATTTAGTGCGTTTTGAAAATTAAAACGTCAAAAAAAAAAAATATTTAGTGCCTAGTGCCCTTTTTAGTGTTTTTTCTGAACGAAAATTATTTCGAGATATTTAAAACCTGAAATAATTTGAAATATTTAAAACTGTCGCAGCACTGAATTTACAAGAATTTACAAATTTAAATGGACTAAAATACAACCATGATTGATAAAAAGCTGAAGTTGCAAACCCACCCTGTTAAATTCTATCCGCATTGAAAATGCTAGTACGCAAGTAAGTTAAGTATTTCTTTTATTCTTTTCTAATTATTTGTACAAATTTTGTTTTTTTTTTACCACTTGAGTAAAACACATCGTTTCTTGGTGCTGAATCCAAATCTGGCCTCACAATCGCTCTAGCACTAGAATTTTGAGATATCCTAACCTCAAAGAGCCAAAAACACGGTTTTTAGGGCATCATTTTCGTTTGTTGCGATTCAATTTATCTTTCTCGAGATATACCAGTTTTAATGTGCAGTACTTCAGTATTATGTTATGAAAAAAGTATCCCTTGATTGAAAAAAAATTTAGTTCTTTTAGTGTGGTAAAACGCTTTTTTCAAAAGTTGTTGGTGCTTTTTGAAAATCAAAAGATGGCAACACTGGTGTGTCTAGATCTCTGCTAACAGCAATCACCGCCTTTCCGCACCCAGCGTTATTTCAACTTCCATTTATTTTGGCCTTTACGGTCTCTCGACGTAAAAATGTGCAAAGTGGTAAGTTAAAGAGCAGCGCCAGCCGTTTTAGAGAAAGTTTCCGTACAGCATATGGAGACTGTCCTTTTAGGTTTGATTTGAGGTTTCCCACGCTATTGATTGAGAGCGTGCTCCAACATACCACTGATGCATATCTGGAGACTAATAAAAGTGATAAAATTATAAAATGTTTGTCACTTTTTTTGAATTACTTCCATGTTAAGGTATTTTTTTTATGGAGATTAAAATATATGACGAAAACGACCTGACCCAATATTAATATGAGTTATTTTTTTTTATAAAAATATAGTTAATGCTTTAACAAAAAGCGTATAAATCCAAGCTTAAAACTTTGTGCGATATTAAAAAAACATTCAATAAATTTTCGTANTGGAGATTAAAATATATGACGAAAACGACCTGACCCAATATTAATATGAGTTATTTTTTTTTATAAAAATATAGTTAATGCTTTAACAAAAAGCGTATAAATCCAAGCTTAAAACTTTGTGCGATATTAAAAAAACATTCAATTAATTTTTTTTTAAAAATTTCGAGGCTTTTAATTATATTTTCTAGAAAAATTTTTAGTATGCAGTTTTGCAGCCCACTCAGTTCTACATAGTATAGTAAATTGGAAGTTTCAAGTGGCTAAAAATTTTCGTTTACAATTATTTTTTTTCGAAGGTATTGTGTTCCCAATGAGTTGGCTTCCATGGATGAGAGTGAAGAAGATCATTGGTCGTGTTTAATTTGTTCTAACTGCTCATTGATCTTTATGAACAACAAGAACATTTCTTCTTCAGAGTGGCTAATTTTTCTATTAGAAAAAAAATTAAAAAACTTGGTCATTCCAACATTTCATGCCTGGCTAAATCAAGTCAAGTCCGGCCACATGTTTGTCCTAACCGAATTGTTGTACGTAGCCTGAACGCCTGTGTCCTTGTCTCTATCCCTCTCTCCGATATACCACGACCTTCGAAATCAAGTCCCCTATCACAATTATGGCGAGGCTATTGACCTGTTATGAGCGTAGTTGTACTTTTTACTTAATACTGGTAGTTTTTCATGTAAGCATTTTCGAAGTAAATATGTAAATCAATTAATAACAAAAAGTACATGACAGGATATCAAACATATTATTTGAGTATAATGGTTCAGAAATGTAATTGACATTAGCCATGAAAGCGCCTTGAGAAGAAGAAAACATTGACTTGATTGAGCTTATAGGTTGTTAATGAATGAGAACCTATAAATACATACAAGTTTTTAACCAACGTTACTAATTTTGGTACATATAGAGATTACGGTACAACTGATTTTTTACAGGTGTTTGCCATATACATACCTCCATACAGAGTATTACAAAGTGCCGTAGCCAAAAGTTCGGAAGGGGAGGGGGAGGGGGGGGCGGGAATGACCACCAATTTTAAGGCTAGACATATAATGGTTGGACATCGCTTGAGTGGTTACTTTCATATATGGGTCATTGCTATTCCGTGGGATATCCATGATTTGTTTAACTTTAAAATATAAAATTAGTTTACTACTCCAATTCATTTATCTAATCCTGCTTTTTTCAGAAGCGGTAGAGTTACACTGTACACTGATTGTAGGGACGCTAAAATAACGCAAACAAAGGCTGTATGGCAACTGGCTACTGACAACTGAGACATGCCACGACGTTACGAGAATGTAAACCCCTCTTTTGCCCGTACACTTTTTAATATAACCGTTCTTTTAAAACTCGCTTTCCAAAATATGAATGCAATGACTCAAAAGTAAAAAAAATATTAGTTCATTGACGACGGGGGGTTCTGTCGCTCCAATTCCCCACCGTCCCTCCTTGGATATGCCACTGATATAATATACGCATATTGTTAGCCTTATTTTTCTCTTCCTCCCAAACATTTTGAAGTTCATTGCCTTCGATAATTAATCAAATATTTATTTATAAGACATTAATAAATTGTAACGATAATCTGCTTCCTCAATGTACGCAAAGCTAAGTGAGTTAAAGGTGTCTTCAAACTTATAAGGACTGCTCTCAGTCTTAAGGTCTTCACTTAATTATTGTACGGTAATTGTACAAAAAACACGATGTGTATATACATACGTTTACGTGGGTATATATATATATATACACTTCATAAGAAGGATGTACTAACAAATGCAAAGAGACTGATGGTTTGGTGTAATGATTTTTTTTTAACAAAATTGTACTTATGGGTAAAAATCCCAGTGGGAAAATGGGAATGCACTACCTTTTTTACCAAGAAAAGATGACCAACTACGGTTGTACGTAGCTTTAAAGCATAGCTGGGCAAAACGCTACTCGCGAGTAGCGTCTGCGTCGCAGCGCTTATACGTATACAGAAACGACGCAGCGAATTTCAATTCAGTCTGCTTTCAGATTTCATGAGAGTAATACTATGCTTCGCCGTTGAATATTTTTATTCGTAATTTTAGCGCGTGGTTGCCACCTATATATGTAACAATGCCCAAAATGTCTGAGTATGAGTGCCAATTACAGTTTTTGGTTTTAAAAAAAGCTAATAATGCCCAATGCTTGTTGTGTGGTAATACGACCATTAACCATAAACAAATGAAAAAAACGCTCCACTCAGTGCAATTATAGAAAAGTGCTTCTCAGCGCGACGCACTAGGGCACACATTGCATACTTTATTTTATAATATTTTTTTTATCAAAAGAAATCGATAGAGAAATGTAAATGCTGGTTTATGCCCAAAAATACTTAATGAATAATATTTATAAGTTATACTCTATTTTTAAGACTAAATACCTACTTATATGAAACAAGTAATTTTTAGCAAGAAAAAAACCGACTTCAACTCTCATATAAAAAAAAAAAATATATATATATATCTCACGATCCACTGATCGGATCTTAACCAGATTAGTATGGGACCACCTCTGAGACACTACCTTTCCGATGCAAAAAGAATTATCGAAATCGGTTGACGTGGTCCAAACTTATGCGGTAACATACATAAAAAAAAAAAAAAAAAAAAAGATTCCGACGAACTGATAACCTCCTCCTTTTTTGGAAGTCGGTTAAAAAATAAGACCTAAACACCGTAACCATCTGGCCGGTCAGCATATAAAAGAATTGGTTCTAATAAAACGGAGCCCAGGTATTATACAAATGAGTTTTCCTAATTTAAGTTTTTTTAAATTATACAAGTACTAAATTTTTCTTATGCAAAAGGTTGTATAAACTAATAGTATTAGTTACTAAAAACTTCCAAGGTTCATTATTACACTATAGGTATAAGCAAAATAGGCCAAAATACCCATGCACGAAAAATACCACTTTTAGTACATTTATAAAAAATGCGGCAACCATAACTGAGCGCGACGCACTAATACCATGACAAAATGAGACTGTGTTGGTGTGCCCAGCTATGCTTTAAAGCCACAAGCAAAATAATAAGTTTGAAAACTAAGTCAAGTATGTTCAGTTATGTGCTGTGGAGAAATTCTTGTATATTTTCGTGCATAGTATCAGGGATGGAAAATAGAATTTTCAAATTGTAACCACTTGGAGAAAAGAATTGTACCTATTACCCTATTGATTTACCTAAAAAATAATAAATTCGGGCTCTGATAATATTTAGATCTACTAGAACCTCTCCAAGACTTACCAAACTAAACAATAGTTTAGTTAAGGCATATCAGCCTCGTTAATTTGTGTTTATTTCAGCTTTTAATAAAAGCTGTTGATGGTACTGCAAGTTCTTTCAAATACACTTCTGAAACATTTTTATGCCTACACTCACTACAAATCAAAGACACATCATTACTGGGAATTTATGATATCGAGAGGTAAAGGCCTTTGTTTACTTACGTAGGCAATATCATAAATTTTACTTCTGCTAAATATTGTTAACAAGGGTTCGAACGAAGAACTGGTGCTAATTTGGGCTCAGTCAGCAAATTGGCATGCCGAGATGCCATCAAAGAAAAACTAAATA